GATGGAAAGACTTTATTAAAGAGACCACAAATATGAGTTTTCAGGAGCTGGGCAGAGCAGTAAGGATGGGGGGCTGGAGATGTCTCATCCATAGGGTCGCCATGGGTCGAGATCGATGGAAAGGCAGTTAACAACAACAAAAACTGCAATCCCCAGGATCACCTAGGATAGAACCATGCCAGTAAAAGTGGAGTTATTGTGCTATAATTGTGTAGGGTGAAAGGGCTCTGGGGAAAATAAATGTTGGTCTCTCACATCAGATAGTTTCAGAAGCATTGTTTTAAATACCTGCTAGGTGACCTTGGGCAAGTCACATGCTCTCAGCCTCAGGGGAAGGCAATGGCAAACCTCCACTGAACAAAACTTCCCAAGAAAACCCCATGTTAAGTTCACCTTAGGGTTGCCATAAGTTGGAAATGACTTGAAGACATATGGCACACACAATCCAGCATCCTGCTTCCCATTGTGGTAAAAAAACAAAACATCAGGGATTTTTACAGACAGGACATGGAGGAAACAGTCCTTCCTGCTGTTTATTCCAACGCCTATCCCCACCACTACCAGCATACAACTTCTAACCACAGAGTCTCAATTTATCCATGAGCAATTAATATTTTTTTAATGTTCGCCTTGTTTGAATAACAAATCTTACAAATGAGAAATGAAACAGGCAGGGCAGTAGTACTGGGTCACAATCTACCAAAGTGAGAAAGAGAGAGCAAATAAGGACTCAAATCAGGCAAAAGATAGAAGAGTCTAGAAAAGGGGAAAGGCAGGCATGATAGTCTATAGTGGTTCTTCAGATGTTGATGAACTACAGCTCTCTTCATCCCTCAGCATTGGTCAGCCACATTTGGAGGGACACATGATCCCCCCTTTGTGATCTGCAGGACAGCATCAGTACAGGTTAATCAAAACTGGTGGAAAGAAGGAAGGAAGGAAGGAAGGACGGACAAGAGGGTGATGGGTGGGGAGAACGACCAAGCAAGTAAAGAAGTAGCATTGGGTCATGTCCAAATGCACCCTAAAACTGAAGTAGAGAGCCTGTAGCCACACAGGTTTTGCTGGCCCTCAGCTCCCATCAATCCCAGCTATCATAGCCAATCAACAGAGAAGATGGAAACTATAGTCAAATAAAACCAGCAGGACTGTGAGTTCCCTAACTCTGTGACTTCTAGAATGGAAAAGTAAGCAGAACAATGGGATGCAGTCAAACCCAACTGGATCAAGAAAGAGAATAAAGCACTTAGAAGAAGAGCTTTGCATCAGGATGGTTTGGTGTTTTAAATTGAATTTGATTTGATTTTAATTTCATTATAGTTTAATTCTGTTTTGGGGGGGGTTAGTGGTGGGAGTATGGAACTGTTTTAACTTGTTATATTTTAATCTGTTGTACGCCGCCCCGATTGCTGAGCAGAGGGGCAGGTTATAAATAAAATTTATTATTTATTATTACGGTATTATTAGGATCCATGGGCCTCCAAAGCAGCCATAATAGTGACACTGGGTCAGGACTAAGTAACCTGCATGATGGTAAAAGTACGGTAGTCAGAACAGGGGAGGGACATCAGGAAAGAACAAAACACATGAGAGTTACCTTGCAGGGTACAGTATAAGACAGGGGTAGGCAACCTTTTTGAGCCAGGGGCCGGGTTTCTGTCCCTCAGACAATTGGGGGGCCGAAGCACCAAAAATAAATAAATAAATAAATAAAAATGTAATTTTTTTAAAAAATTAAAAATTAAAAAAATATGGATGCACACTCTCTCAGCCCCAAAAAAGCCGTGGCAAAACCCCTATGGAGATTTTGCCAAGAAAACCCCAAGAACAAGTAATAACAACAATAATATCATCATGGCGGGCGGCAGGGGGCGGCGGTGGTGGTGACGGCGGCAGGACCGGCCTGGGGCTGGTTCAAAGGCCTCGGGGGGCCTCATCCGGCTCCTGGGCCTTAGGTTGCCTACCCCTGGTATAAGACATTAGGGCCATGTCAAAATGTATAGTATAGAGGCAAGCTGCTGGTGTATGCTTAAGGAGAACCCAAGACTGAAGAATATTGAAGAAGCCTCATCTGATAATCTGCTTTTAAAAGATAAATATATAAATAATCAGTGTCTTAGGATCAGGCCCGAGCAGGCTTAAATGAGAGAAAGTAGGTAGCTCCAATCCAGTTAGGACCAACTGGAGAAAAATAGTGCACAAAAATAGTGCACAAAAATAGTGCTTTGATATCTCTTTATTTGTCATAGTTTCACTTTATGGAACTGTGGGATTTGTAGTTTGGTGAAGTACTTGGAATTCCCTGCTAGAGACATCTAGTACTCCCCTCATAAAACACCACTAGATGGAGCCAAAGCAATTAAAGTGGTATAAAAAATGTTGAAATTGTACAAGTTGGATACCAGCATGGCATGATGATTTGAGTATGATTCTGGAGATCAGGGTTCGATTCCCAGCTCAGCCATGAAACCCACTAGGTGATCTTGTGCAAGCGACAAACTCTCAGCCTCCAGGGAAAGCAGTAGCTAACCTCCTCTGAACAAATCTTGCTGAGAAAACTCCATGATAGCTTTGCCTTAGGGTTGCCACAGGTCGGAAACAACTTGAAGGCACACAACAGCAAGAGACTGAAAGAAGAGAGATGGGATGTGAGATTCACATCACAACTGAATGAACTAACATGGATTTTTTTAAATATATATATATATTAACATATATGCCTCTTTGACACATTAGACAAAGATCAGATTCTTCTGGTGGAAAAGGATAAGGCCCCCCAACACTGGACTTCTTAGCCAAAGATGGCTTGTAGTGGTGCAGAGCAGAGCTGGTAGCATCTTTGTGAAGAGTAGAAAGGTTGTCCACGTGGCCTGGGGAGTGTGTATGGCGGGGGGGGAACTAAGTACATATTTCTGTTGCTGCGACACGCCGTCAATTAAAAATGCAAAGCAGATTGACTCATGTGTGAAGGGGGCCTGGGGGGAGTCAGAGACTGTCAGGCCCAATCTATCTGCCCAACAACACACACACGATTCGGGAGGGAGGGGATGGCATGGCAAAGGGGTGGCTAATGCCTGGAGGGGGTAGATTGCTGAGGAGGTATATAGCACATACTCCCTCACTACTGTTCCTCCTCCCCCCCTTGTAATAAAAGCAAATGCAAACAGTCTCCAAAAACCCACCAAGGTGTGGACCGCTGGATCCCCCAAATTCCTCTTTCTATTCCAGGGATGAGATAGAAATCACTAGATAGATGCTTGGGCACCCACAGTTTTTTTTTCTGCAAAGGGGAACCCTTCGGTAGCCTAGCCCTATTTCTTGTGAAAGTGGGGAGACCACGCATTTTCTTGTCTTGGTACCCTGTCCTCCTCTGGCCTCCTTTGCATCCCTCCCCACCCCTCACCCTCAGCTCCATCACTTTGGATTATCTCCCGACACTGACAGGGTCCTGATTTTGTTAATTACGACTTTAAGATGGTCCCATTCAAAGCCATGGCTTTACCCTGACTCCATCTAATGCTTCTCAAGGCTGCCCCAGAAATAGTTTTTTTTTTTGGGGGGGGGGGTTGGGTAGCAGAAGATTCTCAGCCTTGAGGCCAGAAAGAAAGGAGGAGGACAGCAAGACCTTATTTCTTAGGCCCAGGCACATCCTCTGATTTTCAACAATATGAAAAAAAGCCACAACTAGACATTTTTAATAGGGTGGGGATGGGGTTTTATAGGGCTGGAGATCTTGCTGGGGGCAGTCTGGAAGTATATGCGTAAAAAGGGCCACAGGACCAAAGGAGCCTAAAGAGGAAATAAATATCCCTCTGAAATTCTGGTGTCCAATACAGCTGGAAGTAACCCCCCCCCAATATCTCGACTGATGTCAAAGAACCTCCAAGTAGAGGCCAATGCGAGGTGGCACCCTTTGCTGGCTGTCACGCGGCGCAAGTCCTCCCCCCGAAACCAGATCCCTAGCACGTGTCACTTCGATGTGAGGCCAGAACTGGGCTATGGAGATCTAGCGCGGCGGAGCGAGCTGCCTCTTCCCTCCCCCAAAATAATCTCTTAGGGTCTGGGGTGTGTGTGCAGTGGCGTGTGTGCCAGACATGTTAAATCAAAAAGATTGGGAAAATGCACCTCTTTCTCTCCTGTCACTTAGCCCAACTCTCCACAGTTCTGGCTAGTGCCCCTCTAGCTTGAAAATTGGCTTATAAAAATCCCAGACTTGAGGGGATCACTTAGCCAGCAGCTGGCTTCTGATCAGAAAATAGTTCCCTTCATATTCCAGCAAAAAGCCACTATTCTGCCAGTATTACAACCAATGCACACATCTGGATGACCAAAGCAGCATTACCTCTTGTTGTTGTTGCTGTATGCCTTCAAGTCATTTCTGACTTATGGCAACCCTAAGGCTTTTATTGACATGGCTTTTATTGGCAAAATTTTTGCTGTGACCCGCCCTGATTGGGTTTTCCAAAGGGCAGGATACAAATAAATTTTATTATTATTATTATTAAAATTTGTTCAGAGGAGGCTTGCCATTGCCTTCCACTGAGGCTGAGAGCATATGGACCTTATCCCACGCTGCTCTCAAAAGTGGCAAGAAACCGTATGAGCATCATTGCAGTACTATAGCGCTAGTATAATATGGCGCTAGCGCTATAATAGCGCTATGGATAAGCTAGCGCTATTGCAATGCCCGATGAAAACAGGAATACAAAAGAACCCGAATGATGCTGCATTCCGAGCGGTTTCTTGTTGTATTCTGAGCGACGTCGTGGGATCACCCGGAAAACTATAGCGCAATAGCGCCTGATTCTTAGCGGATTCCGCGCGACGTCGTGGGATCACCCGGAAAACTATAGCGCAATAGCGCCTGATTCTTAGCCGATTCCGAGCGACGTCGTGGGATCACCCGGAAAACTATAGCGCTATAGCGCCTGATTCTTAGCCGATTCTTGCTGCTTTTGGCCCCGTGGGATAAGGTCCTATGACTTGCTCAGTGGGTTTCATGGCCAAGCTGGGAATTGAACCCTGGTCTCCAGAGTTGTAGTCCAACACTTAAACCAGTACATCATGCTGGCCCTCTATTATTACCCCAGATCTGACAATATGCCTCAATTTCCATATAAAAACGCATAGTGCCTTCCCTCTGTTGAAACTTTCCTCAAGCTAACTCATCCATTCACTCTCTCAAATGTTAACCCAGCATTCTTCCAGCATGGCATAGTGGTTTGAGTGCTGGACTACATTATATTATATTATGAATTTATATCCCGCCTTTCTCCCAAAATAGGATTCAAGGTGTCTCTGGAGACCAGGTTCAATTCCTGCTTGGCCATGGAAATCCACTGGGTGACGTTGGGTAAGTCATATGCTCTCAGCTTCAGGGGAAAGCAATGGCAAAACTCCTCTGAACAAGAAAACCTCATAATAGGTTTGCCTTAGTCACCATAAGGCAGAAATGACTTGAAGATACACAACACACAGACACACACACATTCTTAATAAGGTCTTTAAACAGAGGCTGGATGGCCATCTGTTGGGGATAATTTGATTTTGAATTCCTGCATGGCAGGGGGTTGGACGGGATGTCCCTTGTGGTCTCTTCCAATTCTATGGACGCTATCACACGTGGGCCACAAAGCGATAATAAAGTGGAAATGAGTCATTCCGAAAATAAACCAAAAATAAATCTTGATTCTGCAAATGGCTTTCACACATAATTACCTTAATTGCGAAATTACAGTAAGCGCATTTAACGTTCACACACAAGCGAGAAAAGCCCGTAAATGTACTAGAAATGAGCTTCTTGCACATGCGCAGATAGAGGAATGCTCGCTGGAACCATGGGAAAAGCAGGGAAATGCTCCCAAATGCGCATTTGCTTTTCACATTACGGTAAATGCGAATTACTGTAATTTTGCAAATGCATTTCCTCAAAACTACCGAATTTCAAAAGATCTTGGATAACACCAGTTTCTGTCCAGTTTTTGTCCAGTTTCTGTGCGATGTTGTGTGAAATCGTGAGGCACAAATCCAGTTTCTGTTTGGGATTTGTGTGGATTAACCAGCAGATTCCTATGATTCAATAATTCTATGATATCCCAACTCCGCATGTCAGTAATGTTCGAGCCTTCAGACCCATAGACTCCTAAGAGGGATAATTTTAATAGTGCCCTCAGTCTTGACCCACATTTTGCTAATATCTGGCTTTGCCTTCTCTCTCTGTCACACAGACACAGACACACACACACACACACACTCACACACACTCAATGTAGGCCCCCATAACTTCACTTCCCACAAGTGTTTAGACTTTGTCCAGCTTTTATTTCAGGCAACCTAGTTTCTTCTCTCCTCCTTTTCCTCCCCCTTCTTGTCTTCACATACATCCAGATGCCCTAAGGCATTTCTGTTGTCGGAAAATTTCATGCTTGCCCTCTGGGCTGTGGCTTGTCCCGCCTGGGGCCGACCCAGAAAATGCAGCTGCAGGCAGGATGTGCGGGGAGGGTATATCTTTCCAGCCTGGAGCAAATGCCATCAGCTGGTCCTGAAGTCCTCTTGGGAAAGCTTGCCAAAAGCATGGCAGATGGTGCCCCTCTATGTCACTCTCCACTGGGATGGAATAAGACTAAAAAACCAGATGGGAGGCTTGAGAACAATGAAAAGATTTAAGTTAAGATGGGAAAGAGCAAGTCTGAAGATGACTTGGGGTAGGAAGGTATGGCTGGCAATGAAGTAAAAGCAGCCAAGGAGAGAAATGGCAAGGATTGCCTTTGTGGTTCTGAACACCAAGGAAGCGTGGCTCAGTAGCAGGGTATTACATGCATAAGGTTCTGAGTTCAGTTCCTGACAGACAGAGTGAGGTGGATGCTTCAGGTAGCTGTTTGATAAAAGTACAGCACACAGACCTTTATTTGATTTATTAGTATCATCTTGAAAGAGCAGCAAATGTTTAGCTATTTACTATTGTTATATTCTACTCTGTTCTTATTTGTTGTGTTGTGTGCCTTCAAGTCATTTCCTTATGGTGACTCTAGGGCGAATCTATCATGGAGTTTTCCTGGAAAACATTGTTTAGAGGAAGTTTGCCATTGCTTTCCCTGAGGCTGAGAGCATGTAACTTCCCCAAGGTCACCCAATGGGTTTCATGACCAAACTGGGAATCAAACCTGGTTTCCAGTGATACCCTGAATATAATTTTGGGAGAAAGGTTTGATACAAATTCCTTAAATACATAAATAAATAATGTAAAGGAATCCAACACTCAAACCACTATGCCATGCTGGAAGAATGCTGGGTTAAAATTTGAGGGTGTGAATCTACACTCAAACCATCATGCCACACTCGCTCTCAATAATATATTTACAAAAGTAGTTATATAGCGGCATATAATTATTATAAGTATTAATTATTTATTATGATTGTAAACAATATTTTATTGATGCAAATATTGTGTGTTGAGAAGGAGGGGGAAAGATACTTGCGGTATATTCTGTTTGGTGGCAGAAAAATTTGAAAAGCCATCCATCCTTACTGCCACTGCCCTGGCATTGGAGGTAGAGAAGACGGTGGACTTAATCCCCTTTCCACACTGCCATTCCCTTTTCCTTGTGTATTATTTGAGTTGTAATCTTGAAGGCAGGGAATGGTCAAATTAACAATTTGTAAACAGCTCTGAGATCCTTTGTGGTTGAAGAACAGGGTATAAATAAATAAATAAATAAATATTTGTCTAACCTTGGGTACTATACGTGTTTTTATTTTTGGTGCTGTGCCTCAGAAAATATAATATCTTGAGGCCTCCCTCCATCTCTTAAAACATCAATGCGGGCAGAGCTGGAAAGGACACCTCATGTTCACCCCAAAACCTTGGAGAGTTGTTTCCTGTCGGCATACAAAATAGTGGACCAGAAGAGTAAGGAAAGAACAGGTTTGCTTGCTGAAAAAGAGCCTGGGTATGGGCCAGTGTGGTGTAGTGGTAGGAGTGTTGTACTACTACTCTGGGAGATCTGAGTTCAAATCCATCTCAGCTGTTACATTTAAACTGGTTTGCAAAGGTCTATTGTCCCCACTATGAAAGCAGATCTTTTCATTATTCCCTTGTAATCACTTCTTTTTTGGCACGATTGTCGTTCCCACTAGTTTGCACTGATTCAAATGCATGTCAATCATCTACACGTCATCGGTGATGCAAACGGCAACACAGTGAGGACAGGAACAGAGGAGGGTTACTTTGGCTGCTCAAAAGTACACCACTTCCCCTTTGAGCAGCCTGCTAAAGCCTTTGAACTTAATTTAAAAAAATGATAGAAGATTTGATCCATCGGTTTTGTGACTACTTGTCTCGCTGAGCTGCTGTCAGCCTGATCACCCAGCGTGCCACCAAGTTGCAAAAACAATTGATCATATATTCGGTAATTTTGTAATAAATTCGGTAATTTTGTAATAACCGCACCCATAGGTCACACAAGCACAAAGACAGCACGGGGGGGGGGTTAGAAATGGTGGATCTCCCAAAAACTGATTCAGGATGATAAACACCCCTCTGCCATTAGTCCCTCCTCTCCAGAATGATCCGATTCAGATCCGTCGTTCCCACTTGTTGAACACACTTTGGAATTGATTCTTTTCACAAGAACTGCCAAAGAACTAGTGTCAGGAAACAGCATTTTTTTTTGCGTTTGCCTCATTTAATTATCCTGATGCATAACCTGTACTCAGGACAAGAGGCCACTCTCACGACAGAATATGAAGAAACAGAATGGTTTATCCAATTGGCAAAGGGGTCAGACAAAGCTGCATTTTGTAACCCTAATTTTGTCAAATTATTTTATAAACAGAAAGTATCACAAGGAAAATTGGATTAGACTCAGGGAAGGAGATGTGAAAACTGGAGAAAGGAAATCAACAATTTAAGATATGCAGATGGCTACACTATACTACTAGAGAAAATTGCAAAGATTCAGAACAACCACTGAAGAAAGTCAAAGAAGAAAGCAGGAAGGCAGGTTTACAGCTGAATGTTAAGAAAGCAAAAATAATGTCCATACATTATTTACATAAGTTTATAGACAACAATGAAGACATTAGGAAAACATTTCCTACACCTTGGCTCAGTCATTAATAAAAATGAAGATTAAAAATCAGAAGACTACAGTTTGGAAGGGCAACTATGAAGGAACTAGGTAAGATCCTCCAGTATAAAGC